GCTTCTTTTGAGTTCCTGCCAGCGCTGAGGTTTTTCCACATTACGGAGCATAATTTACGAAAATACACAGCACAAATACGTATACACGTAAACTCAATTCAAAATTACCTTATCATCTTTCTGTAATCAAACTACTGCTTTCAAATCATTATAATAAACATGTTGAGGAGATAGTAAATGAGGATAAGCAATTCGTGTGAGAAACTGCATTCCAATCACCAAAACACTCTAAAAAAACACTTTCAAGGACGAATATTTTTTTATAGCCTCTCGGCGATAAAATGCGCGCCTTTCCAAAGCATCATCCTGGAGCTATTCTGCGTCGCACTTTTCTCATATGTCCACGGCCCTCTAGTACCCAGTGGACCATTCCCCCCAGATATTTCCAGCGGAATCCCACATAAGTGGTCCAGCTGCATTTTAAAAATAGTCCAGCCTTTCCTCTTCCACCTGCTGTCAAACACTGGGCCGTCGCCGTTGGGCAGATTCTCGCCACGTACCCCTTGCCCTTATAGGCAAAACAGGTCACTTCTGTTGTTAACCTTCTCCTTGCCGTTTTATTTTCTGGGTCAGGCTTATTACCTTTTGCCAGCTTCTGCACCCGAATGGTAATCGGGGACACTCTCTTCCCCTTGCTGCACTCAGTTTCCCTTTTTTTGCTTTTTGACAGGCGGTGAACTGCTGCTGTCGGACAAACACTCGCCATGAAACCCTTGCCTTTACAGACAAAGCAGGTCACTTCTCTTTCTGCGATCCTTGTTTTGGATTGCAGTCCCTTGCCCAAATCGCGTTACTTCCACCCAATTTCCTTCCCTTCTGACTGCGATCTTCACCTTTTACAGCCTTTTTGCTGCTACTTTTTGGTGGTCGTGTGCCTTTTTCTTGGGCTACTTCGCCCCTGAACCTGCAAACGTCCAGGGTTATGTTCTGGATGGGGAAGCCTTTCTTACACTCTTCCTCGCCCTCTCATACTCCAATGCGACTTCCTTCAGGACTTCATACAGCTCTCCATTCTTCGTCTTGGATACCGCTGTAATTACTCTTGTGGCAATCTTTTCATCTACTCGCAGGGACTGTATTGCGATTTCACAATTCTCGTCTATGAAGTATGGATTGCCCTTAACCGTGCCACGATAAGCTGCTGCGACCCTCCGGTGGATGTACACAAACAGCTCAATCAGCGGTTCCTCTTTTCTCCATCCCACTTTTCTTAAATTATTTTGCAACCCAGTGCGGGTGATCCTCGAGGAATCCACTTCCGCTTTTCTTATAGGCTGCACCACTTTCTCGAATGTGCCTTTCTCCCGCACATGGGTTGGTATCCACAGAAACGGATCCAGAGTGAGTCCCGTCAAATAGGAATGCGAGTAGCGAGCTTTCGTTGTGTAAGTTTTATATCCTTACCTTAGTCTGAATTCTTCAATAAAATCATTAAATTTCACCTCACTCTTCTCCCCTTTTCCTGAATATTTTTCCAGAGACGGAAGTTGCGACTCCAGTCGCTGCGCTGTCTGCAGCATAGCCTGCATCTTTCTTGATTTGTCGCTTTCATCTCCCGCATTGGCTCCCAATGGAACTGTGCTGATTACTCGATCCGTCGTTTCTTGATGCAAATTAGCGCTCTTCTACATTCTCGTCACACTCCGCGCGGTCGGTTCCACTTTCGGCCACAGTCATTTTTTTTGTCGCGTTCTGCTCTGCGCGGCCGCATTCTTTCCAACTTGCGCCGTTTATTCCTACCTCCTTAGTCGACATTACGCGGTCGGCTCCATTTTGAGTCGCGCCCGTTATTCTTACTTTTCCCGCCGATGATCGCATGCGCTGCGACCCGCTGTCCTCCGCCG